TTTGGAAACGACCGCTCGGGCAATACTTTTACTTTTTAGTGAACTGGAAATTTGCATTTCAAAAAGCCAGGGAAATTTGATGGAGTACCTCAAAGTCTGATGCAAAAACGCATGATTGCACCGGCTCGCCTGGTGCGTTCTAGCCTGGGTTTTATCACAGCTGCAGCTGACGTTACTATAAAATCTGCATAAATTGTGATTTGTTTATCGATATCTGTGTCCTTTTATTAATTTACGGAGCATGATGCGTTTGGTCACAAAGAGAGCCGTAACAGTCTCCTCCAAAACAGTGGTGTGTAAGAAGATACCATTGTAATCGTACGAGAACGTAAAAACAAATTGACAAGACATTTTGTTTTTACTGCTGACAATTAGTGCACGTCACGTATGAGAGAGTGATGCTTACGAAAAAATAAAGAACTGCTAAGGCAGGCACCAAGAAGATGGCACTCATTAAAATGAATAGGTAGCGGGCATTAACTAAGACATACCGTTTAGGATCGGAGAGCTCAGAGTGCTTTTACTGGGTGTATCTTAGCAACAGGACTGGCATCGGAACCCCAGTCCGACTGTCCTTGGTAATCTTGGTATATATTATGACTGAAAAGGATAAATGTTGCGTGTCAAGAGAATATAACTACAGGAGGGAAATAGTCAACCGCACAATCTCTGAAGACGTAGTGTTTACACGCGGTGGGAACAGCAGGCACAAACTGGACAAGCGTCCAAAGATATCAAAATGTCTGGCTTATTTATTGAGGCTATGCATCAGCAATTCGACGGTGTTTGCAAAATAATCAGTTGAAGGAGGAAATATTACTTGCATTGCAAATGACAGATTCAGAGGATGTCTTGATTTAAACCGATTTTATTTGCCGATTTGTCCGCCGGTCGCTCCTGTCTTTTTGATTTTTTTTTGTCCATAGCTGGGACTCATGACCGAAATAGGCCGTATTTCCGATCTGCCCTGAAATCTGTGTATATTACGAGTTGTGTAACCCATCCAGCTTCCGATCGAAGGAAGACATACAGCAGACCTAGTATGCCAGGATCAAAATGTCAACATTTTGTACATTTTGCTGGAGGGTTCGCAATTGAAACAGTGAGTTATAGCGTCCTTAACTAAATTTTTCGCCTTCATTTTGGATTGTTCTACATCTCTAAGAACAAGTTCTTAACTTTTGTGATTTCCGAGTATCTGTGAGAACTTATCTCAGTACCAATCCGCAACGTTAGTTCAGGCACTCCTGGCTCAGATTTTTGCCACCAACATAATATACCTTTCCCTCTCTTCCTCTCCCCTCCCTCCGCCCGCCCCGCCCCCTCTTTTTCCTTCTAAACCTCCGAATTTGAAAGGACGTACTGCGGTGATATATTTGATGGTATAAATCATGAACCGATAGAAGCGGACGACAATATCAACACAACACGCAGCAAACATGTAAAAGAAGCCACTTCCACTGCTGGTATAAGTGTACAGCGTCTTTGACATATCATCTACATGATTGTTGATATCCGTAAACACGTCATTGAGTTTCTCGACACGTTCCTTTAGATCCAGAAGTGCCTGCAGTAATATTTCCAACCGGTTTATTCACGGCACTGTAAGTCATTGGTAGATCGCTGATGCAAAATTAGGCGAAAGTTTGGGAAAATTCAGTAAATAGAACAAAAAGTAGAACGGAAGTGTCCAGAAATAAACGCGGCGCGCACTAGAGGACAACCCGGTTATGCGTTTTTGCTAGAAGCTGCTGTGAACGTACGGCAGACGAATACAGCAAAGCGTACAGGGATTCTTTTTAGCTCCTGATTTGCTTTTTGATTCATCCGCCGAGCCAACAAGTTGCAAACAAAGACTGGGAGATAACTTTACACGCTGCAACTATGTCATGATGCAAAGACATTGCGCGGAACGTAGGGAAAGGTATTTCAGCATCCCGACTTTGTCTCAGACTTACATACGGGGCAGTGATATGCACCCAAACTGCAACATCCCGACTTTGTCAGTTGAAGTACACACACACACACACACACACACACGCACACACACACACACAAACACGCAAACACCATGAGTTTCACATTACTGTTATACGGGGCCAAGGTAACAAATGCTTTTGTGGATGGCTGATGTAGAGAAATAGCTAGAGACTCCAAATTAGTGCTTCAAATATTTATAACAGATTGCGGACAGAACTGTGAAGGAAGAAGCGCAATTTTGACCAAGGAATGCCTTTCTGGTACTAGAGATGACTTTCCTTGATTTACTTCGAATTTAAAGCGCTCTCTCTTCCTTTTTAAGTCTGCGATACTCTAGGTCAACCTACCGTCTGACAAGGCTTCCAATGCTTGAACATAATTCATAAATAAAACAAACTTGATTTTGCAAAATCTCTTCTTTTTCGATTTTTCCGCGACAAGATTGCGCCTCAACGCGATACACGTCCATCGCGTCGTCCATTCGCTTCCTCATCATCTTCATGAAAGCCTCTTTTAAGTGCCAGCTAATTTGGCTACGCGATTTTATTATGCGTTTTTCGCAGCTAAGCAGTGCAGAAAACGCATACTGATGAGGGGTTGTGTGCGTCTTTACCGATTTTTTATCTCAAGACCAATAAAAGCTATAGGGCTAAAACTTTAGGAACTGAATCTGCATGCACGTACGGGTCCCAATCCCCAAAATGAACGCCCTTACCCGCGTGGTACCCATGTACGGGCCTGCCAAAATTTTTTTCGAGTAAGTCGCTAACTCGGGAAACTGGCTGAAGCTTAGCGGGATTTCCCCACCCAAGTGGGTATTAATGAGCTCAAAACCAGCCACCGGGTAAGCGTGGTACCCACGTAAGGGCCTGCCAAAATTTTTTCAAGTAAGTCACTAACTCGGGGACCTGAGACGCTCGAAGGCTGAAAGCTTGGCGGGATGTTCCCCGTCCAAGCGGGCATTAATGAGCTCAAAACCAACTCGCGGGCAAGCGTGGTACCTACGTACGGGCCCGTGAAAGTTTTTTTAGGGTAAGTTGCTGACTGGGGAATCTGAGAAGCTAGAAGACTGGAATTTTGAAGGGATGTTTCCTGGCAGTCCCGGTGGCTAGTCTGAAATTCTTTTAGATAGAAGCATCTGCCGAAAGAATGATTGACGACGAAGTTAGCCACCTTTCCGCCAAAAATTTTCACAAGGTCGTACGTGGCAATCACGCATAACGGGGGCTGAATTTGGTAAATTTAAGCTGTATATGAGTTGCGAACATTTCCTGAAAGTTTCAGCCTCCCAGCTTCCCGCGAAAAACTTTCACGGGGCCGTACGCAGGAACCATGCATAGCGGGAGGGGGGGAGGGAGGGGCTGAATTTGACAATTTAAGTTGCAGATGAGTTGGGAACATTTCCTGAAATTTTCAGCCTCCCAGCTTTCTTGGTTCCCGAGCTAGCGATTTTCGCATCAGGAACCCTCACGGGGCGGTATGCGGTAACTGCGATCCCCTGGGGGCTGAATTTGAAATCTCAGGGGGGGGGGGCGTACGCGGGAACCACAAACCCCCGGGGCTGAATTTGAAATTTTGAGTTCTGCTGGACTGGAAACATAATCCCAAAATTTCAGCTTTCTAGCTTTTCTGGTTCTCGAGTTAGCGATTTTTTCGCCACAACTTTGAGGCGCTCGTACGTGGGTCCTAGACGTGCCTGAGGGTTGGTACCGCGGTCCTGGGGTGGCACTTGGCCGGGGAACCCACTCCCAAAATTTTGGCACCGAAGCTTGCTTGGGCGCCGAGTTGAAATACCCGGACACACACACACACACACACATACACACACACACATACACACACACGCACACCGGGGTCTTCACAATATGTGTTTTTGCATATTATGCAAAAACGCATAACCAGTTCCTTTAGCGACAAAAGTCTGCGGGGAGCTATGCAAAAAACTCATCTTCGCACGGACAGCTCGTGCGTTGGCCAATTATTTTAATTTGTTTTAGTATGACATGGGCAGTCGATCACCAATACCCGGTGTTATCCACATTCCCACTCCGAAGTCGCTGAAAGTATCAGCTGAACGTACATGCAGCGTATGTTCAGCTGCACTGTTAAGCCCAGGACACGCAGCCGAAAAGAGTAAAAGTATCTGTGTTCATCCTGTGATTGAGTCTGAACAGTACTGCCAGCTGTACTTCAACAAGAGCATCCAAAGGAGAAAGAAGTAGAAAGCAACAGTCGTCTATTTTTCTTGCATCGAGAATGACGCCAAAATCGCTGGCCTGGGAAGCAAAACGAAAGGAAAAATAAATGGCCAAAGCACGGGCTGCCCGTGCGAAGATGCGTTTTTTGCAGAGTTCCCCGCAAGTTTTTGTTGCTACCGGCATCGGTTTTTCGGCAGATGCTTCTAGCTGAAAGAATTTCAGACTGGCAGCCAGAACTGTCAGGAAAAATCCCCTCAAAATTCCAATCTTCTAGCTTCTCACGTTCTCGAGTACTTAACTTACCCGGAAGGAACTTTTTACGGGGCCTGTACGTAGGTACCACGCTTACCCGTGTGAACACTTGAAAGTCTTGTTTGGAAAATTGCTGACTCGACAACCTGAAAAACTGGAAGGCTGAAATTTTAAGGAGATGTTGCCCGTCCATGTACATCTTGACCATCCTACAGTTCAGTCCCCAGGTATGCGCGGTTCTCAAGTACGGACATTCAAAATTCTTGGCGGGAAAACTACTAGCTCAGGAACCAGAAGAGCCAGATAGCTGAAATTTTAGGGAAATGTTCCCTGTCCAAGTATAGATTAAATGCTTTTAGCTCAGCCTACAGGTATGCATGATGGCGGGAAAATTGTTCATTGAACAGCTAGGCCATTTTCAAGAGCGACCGCTAAACGGGAATTGTTCATTTTTCTTTGTGCAAATTTACGTTGATTTACGCTAGTGAACGCACAAGGTAGTTGCGAATCAACAACCGCTCATGAGTAAACGACCTGATTACTTTAAGTTTGGTGCAAAAACGCATAATCACATCAGCAAGCCTGGTGCGTTACTACCTGGGTGGCACTAAATTTGAAGCAATCAGGTCGTTAACTGTATGAATGGTTGTTGCTTTACATTTACCGTATGTACTCATTAGTGAAAATCATCGCATATTTTGCATAAAGAACCCG